CAGGAATGAAACATGAAGTGGTGCACAGGCTTAAATAAAAGCCATCGTAGCTGAATGAGCATGGAAGTAAGTGTCTGTTTAGCTAATGCTAACGAAGGTAAAAATGCATGAAGAAAGCTAACCTAGTTTGTACGTCATTATCTGTTTGCTCGCAGTGAGTGTGTGTTTGTGCAAGTGTGTGTACAGCGTGTGAGGGGACTGATAAAATATTCCTTCCCTTGGTTGGCCCCGGGGCATTTCAACTGCCCCTAGCTCCTTCCAGTCACTGGCCTGCTCCCTAATTGCCACACACACACACACCCACATACACACATGCACACACATGCACACACTCGACATTCAGAGCTTCTGTGGCTGGAAACACATGCATAAAGAAAGAGAGAGATAAACACATATACAGACCAATGCACACCCATGCATGCATGCCTTCTTCACACACGAACATGCGCCCCTGCCGCCCTGCATTGATTCACCCCCCCCCCCCCCCCTCCAACTAGTTGCAAAGATGTTGTCATGGCCGATCAGGGGGCCAGGCCCAGAGTTGTGCCTGTGGCTTCTCCTCGTGGGGAGACTGGAGCTTGCTAGCCTAGCTGCCCCACGCTGTATGTATGCAGCCCAGGGTTACAGCCTGCTGACGCTCCTAATGAGCCTGGCAGCCTGTTTATGGAGAGTGACGACTGCTTCATTGGCTGCCTGGCTAGCTTTCTGAGTGACTGGCTAACAGGCTGACTGACAGGCTGCTCTATGGATGGCTGACTGACTTGGTGGCTTTATAGACTGATGCTTACTGGCTGACTTGATAGTTTACTGGCTGACTGAGTGGACTTCAGAGTGGCCAGTGCCTGACTGACTGACTGACTGACTGAAGAGAGTATTGGCTGAATGATGACGTCACTGATTACACTCAACCAGATACCTTTAAAAAACAGCTGCTTACAAGTCAATTTGTGCCCATTTTAAGCATTGAGATCCACTCTGACTCCACAAAAGAGTACACAATGTTTATATCTGGTCTATTGTCTACACTCAAGAAGCTTTTGCCATCAGCTTTAAGGACAATAGACACCAGTGGTGTAAACACTGGTACCCATTATTTTTTAAGTAGCCACTTGCTAAGTTTAAATGTCATGTGGCAACTCTCCAGAAAATCTCAAAAAAACTCCACAGATTGTTAGATACCAGCAACTTTAAATCTTCTGTCTGTATGGCACATTTATGTTGTGCTACAGGCGTCAATTATTCAATTGGTTGTCCTTTTCTCTGTGTTATAAAATGTCAGTTTGCCAAGACAGAGAAAATGATTTGTTTCAATTGATTGACTCTAATGTGCCACAGAGCATCTCCTCCATCTCCTATCCATTATTTTCTCCTACTTCAGTGGCTTTAGTTTGATCATTTCTTTCATTTTCCTGCTCTCACTAAATATTCCACATCCGTTCCTTCTCTTCTTACCGTTCTTCCCCTTCTCTCGTTCCCTTTCTATCCCTGTTTTACCGTTCTTCCCTCTCTCTCACAAGCTGAAGTAACACCATTGACATTTCCCCAACATGGCTGCCAGACACAGCTTCAACACCTTCCCTTTCTTCACCCTTCCTCTCTCCCACAGTCTTTTTCTTTTCTCTCTCCCCCGCCCCCCCGCCCCCCTATTCCCTCGCTTGCTGGAGTTAAAGCAAAGCAGAAATTAGCCCCAGACCTTGCAGAGGTGATTGGTATCAAATTGCAGTGAAAATGGAAATGCCAATACAATTGACGGCCCTTCTCCAGCCCTCCTCCTTCCTTTTCCCCTCCGAGGTAAAGTGAGTGTCTTTAGGTCAGACTTTCTCAGAAGTATTGGGGAAGGAGAAGGATACTTGGAGCTTTTAGGGTTTCCCTGTCTGGCTTAGGGCTTGGATTATGCATGATTAAAATGGTCAGACTTTGCCTGAAATCTTTTAAATCGCAGACAGCTCAATGGCGGCTTTCTTATTTGTATTTGTTCTCATATGAGTTGAGGAGATTTTATGTTTGTTGGATATAAACACCAGTAATGTTTCTGTGTTTTTTCCCCAAGGCTCATGAGATGGTAGAGATTTAATGCAAACGACTTCTCTCACATTATGCAGCATTTTGATATTTGATTCATTATTAATTAGCTAGGGTTATTTAATATGCTGTAGGGTCGTGAATAAGAATCCTGTATCCTTGTATCTTACATACCTTTTAATCCAGCCTATCAACAGATATGATGTATTACTGCGATGACAAAGTACAGTTTGATATTATACTATATGGCTCAGCGGTTGCCGAACAAGCTTGTGACTGCAGGTTTGATTACCAGACTGGAAAGAACACCTGGAAATAGAGCATTGCACTTACTTGTAGAATACCATAATACAAGAAATAAAAACATATGCAGCAAAATATAACAAGTGCTACTTTATACAATATTAGGAAGAAGCCATAGCAGGCAACACACCCAGAATCACTTTCTCGTGCAGTTTTCTCTCAGCATCCACACTTTGCTGACTTACTCGGTCTGACTCCTTTGTGTTTTCCCACTCCCTTGTTTCCTCTTCTCCCTTTCCCCTTCTCTCCATGCTTCTCACGATTTCTCACCTCTCCCTGAGCTTGCCTGCTCACCCACGCTCTCCTACTAGCTGTCTACTTCCTCACGCTCTCACTCATTCCCTCACTCTCTCATTCACTCACTCACTGCCGTTTGCTTCTGTTTCCCCAACTCACATGGGACAAGCCCCTAGGTTTGTTATTGTAGGCTTTGCTGAACATGAGCCGGTCTTTACAACGGATTGAAAGCATTTGCTTCCAATGAAAATCTGGTCTTAGATTACAGGGCCTCGGCTCTGCTCACCCTGCTTCTCCAACAGGCGGAGAGGAAAAGAGAGGGACGGAGGGGAGGGTGTGTATTAGCCCTGAAACAGTAGGCAGAAGTAAGCCACTTGTTAAGCTCAGGCTGCGTTTATCCTGGGCTAATGATGTAACTGAAGCCGGCAATGTGAGTGTGTTTTTAGACAGAGAGAGGTCTAGAAGCGGGGTGTAAGGGAGTACATTGTCCTGAGTGTTTTTGGGGGTTAAATGGCTGGATTAGTAAAATGACAACAACTATTGATTATTCTGGAGGGTTTGCCGTTTTTCTCTGTTTAACAACCTTGTAAATGGAATGTCTTCTAGGTGTTGGACTTTCTTTTTTCTTCTCACATTTGAAAATGCTAAACAATCAATTAATCCGACAAGTTCATGACCAGGTTATCCAGTGGTTTACAGTAAAGACACATAGATTACTGACTGACTGATATTGCCTGAAACCAACTTTTGACCTCTTGGTGGTGTTACAATTCCCCAACCCTACCAGCAAAAGTACATGCATGCGGGCATAATTGATGCGCAGTGGGTGGTGTTTGAATCAGTATCCATGAAAATCAAGTGCTTTATTTTATCCCTCCCCCACCCTCCATGGCGTCACCTCCACTTCTACCAGAGCTTCATTAAAAAGCCTTCAATATGTGTGCATATGTATCTCCTTCTGCCAGAACAGTCGGCGAGAGAGAGCGAGAGCTAGCCAAGTGTTGTTTCGTATGGATCGTTGCGAGCCTCTCTCTCCTAATGGTGTATATAATTCAGGTGCCCTCCAGGCATGCTTTCAGGAATTCTTTTGCCCGAGGTAATGGGGAGCAAAGGCCTGGGTTTTAGACCCTTGATTATTCCATTGATGTGGCAGGCTGGAAAAAAGTCATCTCCAACCGGATTAGCGCCAACATCCCCATTAATTATCGATGAATCGGGGGCTTAGGGTTTAGCTAGGTGCTGGGTGTCGCCCTGTGCAAGTTAGCGGAGCGCGGGCTTGCTCAAATGCAGTTATCTACTCCCGTTGCAGTGAATAGAGCAAGAAGCTTTAGAAGTGCTTTGTGTGTAATCAATAAATAACTGGATCCAATTCTGTGCCCTGCTTCAGCATTTTCTTCCCCTTCCCCTCACTTCCAGTCGAAGGGAGCGGACAAAAGTCAGTTATCAGCTGCTGAAATTTCTGGCAGTGAGGGTGCACTTGTTTACCTCGCCTCATGTTTCTTTTATGATTATCGTCTTCATTGAGGGTGGCTCGCATTTTTGAATAATGATAATAACAATTAGGCTTTTCACAGCCACAGATGGGAAGAGCCTCTGGAGCTGTATAGAATTCGTACAGTAATTGGGTAGTTTTGAATATGTGCAGTGTGTGTGTGTGTGTGTGTGTGTTTGAGTTCATGTTGTTGAGTCTGAATGCAGAGAAAGGCCCATGGAGCGTCTTCCTTTCACTTTTCCTCTCAGCGCTCGAATGCTCTAAGCTGTCTCAGTGTTCCCCTAAGGTGAGGTTAACTGGCCTTAATAGAGCCTTATCGAAGCCCTACAGGTTGCTGTAAGCAGCCATGACACCATTGTTATGAAAAGCAGCTAGCTTTGTTAGCGCTGTTGTGCCTCTGACTTCCCTTTTTCCACATATTTTCCTTTTATTTTCCGCCTTCCCCCTCCTCACAACCTCCCCTTTTGTAGTGCCGTGTTACTTTTTCCACCTCAGGTAAAATGGCAGAATGCGCGGGGGCGACGCTTCAATAACTATTTCCCCCTCAGGATAATAAAGACTAAATCTCTCTGTCATTTTCAATTCTGCGCGGGCTTGGATGGGAGAGTGGGGAAATGCGACCTTACAAGTCCTTTGTGCTCTCCTTCTCCCTCTCATTCTTGCATCAAGATGCGCTTGCTGTGTTTTTAAGAGGAGGGGGTGAAAAATGAAAGGCAGGGTTATTTATAAATGTATTAAAAATGAATGCATTTATGAGGTGCTGTTTTCCAGCCATTGTTTGCTTGCCATTGTTGCGTCTCTATACCCCTCCGCCTGTGCATACAAAGCCCTCCAGAATTCCTTCGAAATCGTATTTATTCCCTTTGAACGCAGAGGCGCATCCAATGCAGGAAGTAAACAACCTGTGTGTCTGATCTGTCTCTTCCTGTTTCTTGTCATGTGACAGGTGATGGCATGGACAACAGCATGGCCTCGCCGAGCACAGGGGATGACGATGACCCGGATAAAGAGAAGAAGCGCAACAAGAAGAGAGGGATCTTCCCTAAGGTGGCCACCAACATTATGAGAGCATGGCTCTTTCAGCACCTTACAGTGAGTTGAATGAAACACCATTTGTTCTCAGTTGCTCTCAGTTTTCATTTCACGTGTGCACATTGAACTTCACCCACAGGCTTTTTCTTGCTCTTATTCACACATTTTCTATCTTTCTGGTTCTGCTCCTGTCTTATTTGATATACTTGCACTCAAAGGAACATGTACACGCACACACACCCACGGACACACTCATTGACGCTAACACCACCCTCTCTCCTCCGCCATGTATTTCAGTTCGTACGGTGAACTCTTCAAAGACACAGGCCTGTAATCTGCTGGCGATCTCAGCAGCCTGCTCATCTGCTCAAACTGAATAAGGTTTAACCAAGGAGAGACGCCCGCGGCCATAACTGCAGATACATAGATGAACCTTATTAAGAACAAATCTGTCATTATTTAACAGATGCCTGGGATGCTGTAAAAGCTCGTGGTTTTATATTTATTCAATTAAAGCGGGTAATGTGAAAACCGTTAACAGCTGACAAATTGCTCATGGAGAAATAGTGTGGGAAAAATATATTTTGATGCTGAAATACAGCAATGTGACTGTGTGAGCAAACAGTACATTGAATTATGTCTCCACACATTTGCTGAGGCCCGGGGAAACCATTTTGCTGTTTGATTATGGATATTGCATGGGCTTCTTTATTTGTAGATATCATTGATGTTAATGGTATGCATTGCACATTTAACAGTGCTAATGGCATATTGGAGGAACTGTTTCATTGCGTACACTGTAGTGTGGCATTTGGCCGAGACATATAGTGTATATCTATGCACACAATATATACACACACATCTCACAAGGCTTCTTATACTTTTTGTTTCTCTTTGTGCTATCCCCTTTCCATCTGACCCTCACCACCTCCTTTACAAACCACCGGCTCTCCATCACACACATAACACACACATCATCACACATACACACTAACCTCTCCTCCAACTCCCTGACCTCAACCCATACACCTTCGGGGCTACAGAGGAAAGGTGTTTGAAACATACACACATCCTGTCTGTGGAAATAGAGTTCAGCACACACTCTGCAAGTGAAACGCACACACACACAGCAACACATGCACTGTGTCATATTACACCATGAGGGAGGCTTCTTAGATCTCAAACAGGGGATAAAGAAGAGGGGGATGAGGACGATCCATCATCTTTTTTTACCTGGAAGAAATAAGAAGTTGACCATGTGTACATACAGGCACACAATGGCACATATGTTATATTGCTTTATGGCAGAAAACAGGAGGAAGCTCACAGTGACGTCACAGTTAAACATTTCAGGAATTCGTTGGTGGAAAAATCACTTCAAATATGTCTATCCTCTTCAGATGAAAAATAAATGAAATCCAGCCGGAGAGGAGCACCGTCCTGATCGTTTACGGGAAATGTGGTCTTCGTTTTGAGAAACACTAGCATTAACAATGGTGTCAGATGGTCTTATATGTTTACACTTATCATTCTTGTTGTCACCATTAATCTAATCACCAGATATCTGTGTTTATAAATGCTACACATAGCACCCCTCGTGCAAAAACATTTACAGTATCTCTTGCACTGGCAGTATGTCTCTGCTGGTACAAACATAAACACAGACATCTGATCCAGGCTCATCCATCAGCTGGCCTGCCTTTGTTTCACAGAAGGATGGAGGATGAGTCTGGCCTCTCAGAGATAGACACAATGCCAATTAGGGACACACAGACGCATGCATACACACACTAATTCATCGTGAGTGCTGTGGCTAAACGCAAACCTGAATACAGGAGCTGTTGTTTCTCAAGTATAACAGATATGCAGGGTTTGACAGTGGAGAGACGATGGAGCAGAATTGGGTAGGAGTTTGGATACCCACCTTGATGTTTTTTTTGTTATGCGCCCTCACATTTGGACCCTCAGGGGACTTCTCATTGCCGAAGCGGAAGGGGAAGGTGGGTGGCTTCATACGGTTGTTTTTTAGGGTTGTTTTGAAGACATTTCTGCATCTCGCTTATCCATCAAGAATGCTAATTTCCAAAGGCATGCTACAGACGGAAAAGGAAATTATTTAAAGCAGCAGTGTTTGTTATGAGCATGGACACCAACAGTAGTACATGTTGTATTACTCCTCGATTCAACGCTGGCAGGGTCAAAACCACAGTACATGAAATATGCTTCTCTCTGTGGTGTGATGTGTGCAGTGACAGATAGAGCAATGGTATTGAATTTGTGAGGATGACGACAGTCGCAGCACGCCGTGTTCCCTCCAACACGCCCAATGAGCTCATGTGCTGTCGACAGCACTTGTGGTGTTCATCATCGGAAGAATTTGGCTGCTCTGACGGGGAGCGACTAAAACTTTAGCATTAACCTCCTGTCACCGATGGCTCGACATGCAGCTGTAAACTTGGTAGGGAACCAAATAAAGCTCAGGGGGCTCATCACATTTCAGTAATAATTGAGATTCTTCATTAAAACATTTGTTAAGATAATCATTTTGGGACCGAATGGGGCATTTGACAAGATAAATCTGTACAAATTCCTTGATCCAATTGATAAACTCACCTATATATGTGCTTCTATGAGAATCTCTTTGAATAGTAGATATTGTTCCATAGTGTGCAAATAATTTCTTCCCTCATAAATAACAAAAGAGAAGATATTTAACTAAATGAATTGTTGAATCATTTTAAAACTGATTGCATAACAGGCTGAGCTGCCTTGCTTTGTGTTTCAACCAAAGAGACAAGCATTGAGATGAACAAATAGCTTTTACCCAATCTCTATTTCCTTCATCCTTTCTATTGTGCAGTTGAAATCCACCTCACCCCTACTCACCCGCCCCTCCCTCCTCACAAATGGTATTTTCTTGTTTAATTTAACAAGAAATGAGTAGTAAATGAAGGCTCAGGCCTCAAATCCCCAACGCGCCCTGTGCTCTGCTCTCCACTCCCCTATGAAAAGGCAATTTGTGAAATTATGTGATAGAGTAATTAGATGGAATTCACCCCCGCCTCCCCACTACACACACCACTCGTATCCCCCTTTAGATTGTTGCCTTGCTAAACTGAAGTAGGTGTGTGTGTGTGTGCACGTGTGTGTGTGTGTGTGTGTGTGTGTGTGTGTGTGTGTGTGTGTGTGTGTGTGTGTGTGTGTGTGTGTGTGGCAGGGCAGGGCAGGGCAGGGGGTTTTGGCATTCAGAGTGTTAGCATCGCTATATTAGCCTGGCAGACTGATACACACACACCCTCATACACATTATCACTAACACTCTCATTCTGGCTCTCCTCCCCTCCTATTTGTACACAGACTCAGTGTAACGAGGGGCAGCCGTGATCGCAGCTCGTAAAAGAAGCCAACCCGCAAACCCTCAATGAGCTGAGCTTTTTTCTCCTCCTTTCTCCTCTTAAAACGTGCAAAATGCACAGAGAGAGAGTATAACAAAAATCCAACTGGAAGGCATAATCCCCCGTTAATACAATTAGAGTCTAATTTAACCGCTCGTGTACGCAGATGTAGCCGAGCTGGGGAGCTCAGTTACCCCCCTTGGAAATGTTTCCTTTTTTTTTTAAACACAGCAGCGTGCAGCAGGCTTTTGAGCAGAAACAGGTGTGAAAAGCAATATAATTCATTTCTGCGCTGGCAGAGGAGGGCAGGAGCCTTGTTTGGTGGAGGAATCCAGGCTGGGGGGTGGGCGACAGGAGGTGATGGATGGATGGATGAATGAGTGGATGGATGGATAGGTGCAATAATCGTTATAGGCATTATTTTTGTTCCTCCTAATGGTCTTAATGGTTTTGGGTGGAATGTAACAAAACATAGAAGAACAGGGCAAAGGACACTCAACTTTTTAGTCAAGATTTATTGGAATAATGCCTCTTTTAGGTTGGAGTAGGGAGAGTGTGATGGAAAATATGCATTTAATTTCTGATTTTAGTTGCACTTCCAAGGAAATGAGCATCATAAATGTGTTTTATGGTTAAGTCAAATGTTGTTATAATAGTCATACAGTGACTCACTCATGTGTTTGGTCTGTGGTGAGTAAAGAAATGATATTCAATATAAAATTCAACACTTTGTTACTGCAGCGTGGTGTAAAGTCGAGACCTATCACTTCTCAGCTATGGAAACACAAACCAGATATGTAGAGCCTCGTCTAAACAGCAGAAGTGAGGGGAGAAAAAAAACTTTGGAGGTCAGAGTTCGCCATTGCCTCAGATGCCATTAGTCTTCGCCTGTTTATTGCTGGAGCCTGGACATGTCAGCACCCTGGTCACCCGCGGCAACCCTGACCCACCCGGCAACACTGGCTCGCAACGGCAACCCAGGTCTGGAAGAAGGATGTTATCCTACTGGTGAAACCAAATGTGTTCACTTAAAGTTGTCCCTGTCCTTAATAATAATCTTTAATTTAATTTGGAGGAAAAAAGAGATGACAACAATGGTACATGTTTATAATTACGGTCTTCCTTCAATTATTGTAAGACTTGTTGTCGTAGTTATCGACTAGAAAAATGAAATGTCCTCATGACAACTTATTTCCATTTCCTCATTAATGGCTATGAAAAGACAAAAGGAAGCTAGCTTTAAAGGAGAAAATCAGCTGACTGAGTGTTTTCATTCATTTATTCATCAACGGCAACAAAGGCACGATGTCCGTCTTGATACTGTAAAGTAATGCAGTGGCCTATGTGGCCTGGTGTCTCCGATTAGCTCTTGATTTAATCTAAGTGGCAGCCGAATCTTAGGCGCCACCGCATTAGTATTTCAAAGAGGTTTTAAGAGACGACAGACATACGGACAGATCTGCCAAAGGCCTGGCGTGACACTGTGATGAGACAGAGTGGTGGAGCAAAAACAAGAGAACAAGTTAGTCTTATTCTCAGCGTTTTATTATCCGGTTTCAGATTTATCACCGGGAATGAAAATGTCTTTGGGCTCTGTCTCTCTGTGTGTGTGTGTTTTATCTTAAAGGGCTATGTTTGGGTAAATGTGTTTGTGTGACTTCTTTA